TCAATGAACATCCTTGCACATACACTACTATATGTTCTTAGAAGAAATATCTTGTAATTCTGCCTTTTCAATAGTTTAAGCCTGCTAAGTACTTTACACAAGGACTTTCAACAGAATTCAACGACTAAGTAAGGAAGAAAGGAGCCCCGGTGGCACAGTGGTTAAGGCACTAGGCTGCTAACCGAAAGGTCAGCAGTTTGACCCACCAGCTGCTCCACAGGAGAAAGATGTGGCAGTCTGCTTCTGTAGAGATATACAGTCTTGGAAACCGTATAGGGTAGTTAGTTCTACTCTGTCCTACAGTGCTTTGAATGGGGAATCGACTCGATGGCAATAGTCTTTTTTGTTTTTTTAAGTAAGGAGAAAGAATGCTTGAATACCCTTATTTTGTTTGCTTGGTGGCACAATGGTTAAGCACTTGGCTGCTAACTAAAAGGTTGGCAGTTTGAACCCACCCAGTGGCTCCATGGGCGAAAGACCTGGTGGTCTGCTCCCGTAAAGATTAGAGCCAAGAAAACCCTATGGAGCAGTTATATTCTGTCACATGGTGTCCTATGAGTCTCGACTCATTGCCACTTAACAACAATAAAAGGAGAAACTCTATCAGAAGAAGAGACAGGGTCATGGGTAAAGAATCAAATGACAATAGGACAGATAGGTTCTCTTCGTAGGTTAATCTAAGCTTTAGCATATTTGCCTTTACTAACACTTTTCCTGCTTCTATTTAAAAATGCCTGTTCTATTGGCAAAGATTTAAAAGATGCCAGTATGCAGTGTTGGTAAGGGAATGTGGCACTCTTTAAACCTCTGGTGAATGTAAATTAAACACATCTGTCACTTGGCAATATGATTACAAATCTTAAAATCTGTGGGAATCTTATAAAGCCAGAAGATCTATTTTTAGAAACTTATGGCAAGAAAATAATCAAATAGTAGGTAAAGAGGTGTATACAAAGATGTTCATTGTGATGCTGTTTATAATAATGAAAAATAATGCAATTTAAATGTCCATTATAAAGAATTAGTAAATTGTGGTAGCTACAGTATGGTATATCAAGTAGCCATTGGCATGGTGACAGACTACGTATTCATTGATTAATTATTAGGTCAAAGAGAAAGAGAAAACAAGCAAATCTGTACGTGAATACGTAAGAAAAAGACTAGAAGGAAATACATGAAATGGGAGTTATCCCTCCTTGCTGGAATTACCAATAATTTTATTCTTTGTATTTTCTAGTTTTTTAACGCAATAAAAAAATAATATCCAAAATGATAAGGGAAAAAAAAGTTGCAACGTGCATGATTTGGGAATTTATAGAATTTCAACAAAATAAGTTATGCTGTAAAAATATGCCACTGCAGAGACAGGAAGTCATGTTTTCCCATTCTTGTCACCAGCTAGAAAGAACGCTTCCTTAATTCCCAGTAGATGTTGAAGATTATTTCTTAGACTGAGTCAAAGAACACAATTTTCCTCCTTTCTTTATGCTAGTAACATGTTTGGCTTTCCATATAAGGTGGAGAATCTACAAGAATGGAATTTAACTGATGACATCTAGAAATCTAAAATTTCTTTTCCTTCTACACTCTGTAGTTTCAGGCTACCATTTATTTAGTGCTTTTCAGATTGCCTGCACACTATTTTCATTCCTTATCTCATTTATTCATTTTGACAAACCTATGAGTTAAGTGTTACTATTTCTACTTTATAAAGCCTAGTTCAGAGATTAAGTAACTGACCAAAAGTCATTACGTCAATAAGTAACAGAGTCAGGGTTCAGTCCCAGGTCTGTTTAATTCCAAAGTCCTGGTTCTTTCTACTACATGATACTACTTGCCTTTCATTCTGAATTTATTAACAGAAAAAAGTACAAATTTAAAATAATACCTTAGGGTTAACAAAATAATAAACAGCTGACTACGATAGTTGAAAATCAGGTCTATCAAACTGCTATTCTGTTAGTTCACACTTAACAGGCTGAATAATTCAGAATTCCAATGCACTTACATGAGAGTTTAGGTATGTTTACATTACAGAATAATCTCTTCTTGACTGAAGGATTTTTCACATGCACATATATGTATCATTGTTATTTTATCATTGCTTTTTCAAACAAAAGTCTTAAAAAGAGAAACCACTTACCAGAAGCAGCAAATGGTTTATTATCAACAACGCAGATAAAAAAGTAAAGTATCTTGTTCCTTTTAAATAAACAGAATTAGAAAAAAGCATAAAATAGAAAACCACAGAAAGACCTAACTTCAACACTAATTTAGATTAAAAACAATTTAAAAAGCCCCATTAACAACAAGATTGGGCTAAAATTGACCTCTACTAT